ACGATGTTCGGTTAGAACAAGTTGTGTGAAAATAAATATTCTTTGTAGTGATATGATTTTTATTTTCTTGTCTTTAGTGTCCTCGTGATTGGTTGATTGTAATTTATTAAAGATTTTTGTAGCTCGGAGGTAATTTATTAATTCCAAGTTCAAGAAAAACAAGATTTTTTTTTAATTATTTATTTATTTATTTAATAGTCTCGTTAAAATTTATGATTCTATATGCGAATAACCCTAATTACCACGTAAGTTCAAATCGAGAAAATTGGAAAAGAAAAAACTTGCCTAGGGCCTCCGAATTTCTGGAGACGGCCCTGAATTTCGCCATGTCAGCATTTGAAACGTGAGAATCTGCACCTAGCCTCAACATGTTTTGAATTAATATATAGAGATGGAGTTTTTAATTAAATATCATAAATATTTCACTCATGTGATATGAAAAAGAATAAAAGATACTATTGTTAAGTATAGTTGTGAATTGTGATACAAAGAAAACATCTTATAAACAGTAGTATACTTTAGTCAAACAGTCCTGCTAAAGTCAGTCCAATTTGTTGAATTTTGATTATATATATATATATATATATATATAAAAGAAAAAATAAAAGTTGAGGGGCAATCTCAAATTTCGACCAAATCCACCAACAAAATGTGAATTATCCAATACTCGGGGATCAAACTGAAATTTCGAGACAAATTCCTAACATTTTGCTGATTTTCACCAACAAATTGAAGTTTTGAGCTTGAGCTTCGAAAAAGGGCGCGCTTGGATCTGTGCGAAGAAGGCGAAGGTCGGGCAAAGGGGCAAAGGTTTTGCTGACCGGGAAAACCCCAGCGGCGTCCCAGACAGGGACAGCAAGAAAAAGCCGAGCTCTCGCTCTTCACGCGCCGGTCTTCAGGTTTTTTTCCCTTTTATTTTTATTTTTTTTTATGGGTTTTTATTTTGTTCTTCCCCCTGTTGATTTCATCGATCGTTCAATCGATTTGCTTCTTTTTTGTTTTTTTTTTGAATTTTGTTTTAGGGTCAAGTTAATTTCATGCCGGGCTTGTGGGCTTAGCTTAGGAGTTATGAGGGGATTTCTGTTGTGATTTTCGTTCTGTCTTTACGGAATTTGGTTTGCTTTTGTTTGGGAACTTTTGTGCTTGCTCTGTTCTTTTTTTCTGTTTTTGAATTATAAATTTTTGGTTGATTTGTGTGCTGTGTGTGTGATAGCACTCCTGCATCCCAAACCGGTTCTCCTCCGATCCTCAACCGTTTGAGCTCCCCAAGACCTGCAAAGACGCCGGGAGGTGCTCCCGGCGGTAAATAGAGGGGAAACTGTATATAATTGTAAGTAGTATTAGGGTTTGTAGAGTGTGATTAACCTTTACCTTTTTCCCTGTTTATCTATTTATATCGAATTATTAGCTTGCTCAATACGCCTTTGTCCTCCTCCGTCAGATCATTTATCTCCTTTTGATCATGACACTCCACGTGTAGTCATGAACTACAGTTTACACCTGCTCGGTCTTTCATAGCCTCCTGCTCGCAACCACTTATCTCCTGTCTTGCTGCTCGGTCTTTCATAGACTCCTGCTCGCAACCACTTATCTCCTGTCTTCTGCTCGGTCCTCCATAGACTCCTGTTCACAACCATCCTCTTGCTCGGTCTTTTCCGGGCATCTGCCCATATTTATCCACCTGCTCGGTCTTTCACGGATTCCTGCTCGCTACTACCAAACCATTTCTAACCGAGCCACTTGCTACTTGCTAATTGCGAACCGAGCTATTGTTACCAATGAGCTATCTGCTCGGTTACCTCTGCTCGGTTATCCCTAAATTCACCGTTATGCTTAACTCGGTTCATGCATCCAGCTGGTCGTGCCCGGTTTTACCGAGCTTGTTATCCATGCTACATCAGAGTGATTATTGTTGTTTATGTTTAATGTGGGAAGTATCTATGCATATGATTGCTTGTTTATATCAACTCGCTGAGTGGAATTTCGAAGTGCTTTTTTGAAATTGTTGATAATCTGTTGGTAAAACAGCCTGAGGCCCTGAGAGAATCCGTGAATTTGCATTCTCTTCGAGGTTAAGTTATATGTCTGGAGCTGAATTTCGATGTTTTTTTCTTCGTCAAGACGCTATAATCCGACCCATAAAACTTGTTTTCGGCCGGTAATTTTCATGCATTTGCTGTCGAATACCGACAAAGATGAGCTAAAGCTGATGAATTGAGTGCTAGATGTAACTCTAGATGAATGTTTTATCTAGGCAATGATCATACTATTCGTTAGCATACATTTGGATGAATATTCTTCGTAAATATTCTGCGTAAGCAGAACAAGTTAATGTGACCTTGAAAAGAGGATAATTGTTTCATCTCATATTTTATGAAATGATAATGCATGCACGATATCAATTTTGTCGTTACTCATTGTGGCCGATACTTGGATTGAAAGTTGAAGCACTAGTTGTTGCATCAGGACAATCTGTAATTTATCCTGTTTAACACATGTTGAGCTGAGTTTGAAAATTTCTTCTACACAACATGAGTTTATTGGTACCATTTCATAAGTAATAAAACAAACTAGATGAAAACTATTCCGAGAAGCTACCTGAGATCATTGGTACCATTATATGTGTAACGGACAAGATAAAAACTATTCGGGGTAAGGCCTTACCTATTAGCTGTAATTTCTCCTACATTGGTGTAGAGGCATATATAGTTCCCACTCTTTTTATTTTTTTTCCTGTTTTACGAGTTATATATTTTTTCCACACTTACATATTATTCATGATAAATATACATTATTGAGAAAAAAAAAAAAAAAAACCACTTTTTTTTTGCCTGCAGTTCTCGGTGGGACGTACGCCAGCAAGGACTTGAAGGTGATGCGCATTACGCCACGTCATCTACAGCTGGCGTTACATGGGGATGAGGAGCTCGACACTCTCATAAAAAGGGAACAGTTGCAGGAGGTGGCGTAATCCCGCATACTCATAAGTCGCTCATCATCAAGTTATCCAAGGAATGATGAGAGGGGCCTATTCGACATTTTCTATCATAAACTTGTGTGATTCGTGTGGAAGGTAGTTGATGTCTTTTAAGAAGGATTTTTAAGGTTTTAGGGGTTTACTAGGGTTGGTTGTCTATGTACTGTTTTTCTGTTCTTGAGTTTGGGAATCTAATCAAAGGTTTGGATGAATGCGCCTCTTACGAATGTTGACAATGTGTAGCTTGTTCAGTTTTACATCAGTTATGGTGTTGGGGTTCAAGTTGATGTTGTTCTTGCTCGGTATAGGCCTAATTGCATATAAAATACCATGGCTTTTAATTTTTTTTTTTTT